TGACACTCCCTCAAAGACCTCTGGGCTGTGTTGACAGCTGAAGCTAAGAGATATCTCCTCACAGCAAACCGGCTGAGCCATAACTATGGAGCACCTACCACTTAAATTACCTGTTCTCCAATCCCCAAAAAAAAAAAAAAAAAAAAAAAAAGAACAAAGGAAAAAATCAAGAAGCTTAAGAGGGGCTGGAGAGATGGCTCAGGGGTTAAGAGCACTTACTGCTCTTCCAGATGACCATAGTTCTGTTCCCAGTACCCATACCCACATCAAATGGCTCACAACTGCCTCTAACTCCAGTTCCAAGGGATCCAATGCCCTCTTCTGGTCTCCAAGGTCACATACACACACACACACACACACACACACACACACACACACACACGTGCATACACATACACACACGAAAATAAAAATAATAAAGGGGCTGGAGAGATGGTTCAGGGTTAAGGTTAAGTGTACAGACTGTTCTTGCTTGCAGAGGATCCAGGTTCAGTTCTCAGCACACGCATGGAGTCTAACAACCATCTGTAACTCCAGTTCTAGGGGATCCAACGCCCTCTTCTCTCCTCTAAGGGCACTGCACAACACAGGTATACTTACACACATGCAGGCAATACACTCATACACATAAATAAAAATAAAAATAAAATATTTTTTAAAATAATAAGTCAGAGGCAGGCGGATCTCTGTGAATTCAAGGCCAGCCTGGTCTACATAGTGAGTTCCAGGACAGCTGGGGCTACAGGGAGACCCTGTCTCAAAAAAAGACCAAAAAAAAAAAAAAAAAAAAAAAATAATAATAATAAGGCATAAAAGCCAGGTGCTGTGGCATACCTGTAATCCTAGCACTTGGGAGACTGAAGCAGGAAGACCATGAATTTGAGGTCCACATAGGCAACACAGGAAGACTATTTCAAAAAAATAAAACCAAACAAGATAAACAAACAAACAACAAAAAAAAATCAAGAAAACAGAAGAGGAGACTGGAAAGATGGCTCAGCAGTTAAGAGTACTGGCTGCTCTTGCAGAAGACCTGGGTTTGAATTCCAGTACCTACATGGAGGCTAACAACCATCTTAACTTCAGTTCCAGGGCTTCCGATGTCCTCTTCTGACCTTCAGGGACACTGCACAACACAGGTGCACTCACATACATGCAGGAGGCATAATACACATAAAATAAAATTAATTTTTTTTTTTTTGTCTTTTTGAGACAGGGTTTCCCTATAGCCCCAGCTGGCCTAGAACTCACTATGTAGACCAGAAACTCACAAAGATCCACCACCTGCCTCTGCTTCCCCAGTGCTAGGATTAAAGGCCTGCACCACCATTCCTGGCAAACTAAAAATAATTTTTTTTGTTGTTGTTGCGGGCATGGTGGCGCACGCCTTTAATCCCAGCACTTGGGAGGCAGAGGCAGGTGGTGGATCTTTGTGAGTTCGAGGCCAGCCTGGTCTACATAGGGAGTTCCAGGCCAGGTGGGGCTTCAGGGAGAGCCTTTCTCATAAAGAAAAAAAAAAAAATTTTTTTTTTTTTTTTTTAAAGAAAGAAAACAGGAGTTAAAGAGGCCACGTAAAGACTGGCAAAGACTAGAAGGACACAGCCCCAAGCCAGGGAAGAGCTGCTTAAAGCTAGAAGAGGTGAGTCAGGACTTTCCCTCCAGCATTTTTTCCTGGCTTCCAGTACTGTGACAGAATAAACTTTTGTTGTTTTAAACCACGTGGTTTGTATTGTCACAGCAGCTCTAGGAAATCAACCTGGTGTTAGCCAGGATTCCAGTCCAGCTGGGCAAATAAGACCCAGAAACATGATGCAGTCCATGGACAAGACGAAACAGCAAGCCTGAGAGAAGGACTGGGGAGGAAGGGAAAACAGGCTGGAGGAAGGATTTAAAAAAAAATTATTTGGGGGCCAGGTGTGGGATGTTTAGGGTAACAATAGAAAACATGAAAAATTGTGCTGGGGAGATGTCTCAGTTGGTAAAGTGCTGGCCATGGAAGCATGAGAACCTGAATTCAAATCCCCAGCACCCACATGAAAAGCTAGGTACCCATGTATAATCCCAGCAGTAGAGAGGCAGAGACAGGCAGATCTCTAGAGCTTACTGGCCAGCTAGTCTAGCAGCATCAGTGAGCTGCAGTTTCAGCAAAAGACCCTGCCC